TCACCCCAGGGCCTCCTGGAACGCCCCGGCGCCGAATGAATTGGCGAGCTAAAAACGTGCGCCGAGCCAGAGCGGGAGCGCAACTTTGAGAAAATTTCGCTCGGCGCCCAAGCGGGAAGGTCATTTCATTCACTTCGAGCGGGGGGGGGTGCCGCGCCCAATTGTTGCCATGCACTTTTGCGGGGTGGGCGACACGAACAGCTATGCGGGCAGGGAAAATCAGCATGGCATTGTTTCTGACAAGTAAGGTGGCCACTCCCGCCTTGGGGTTGCCCCAGAAGTCCGCGCGCGATGTGCGCCGCGCCCCATTCCCGCCACGAATTTCGCATCGTCGACGACAAGACAGGCCATGATGAAAGGAAAAACGGTGACTCTGTATTGTTTTTTACAGTCAGGATGGGAGGGCCCGCGGCCCGCATGGACGTCCGCGCGCGATGTGCGCCGCGCCCCATTCCTGCCACATACTTCGCACCGTCGGCGACAAGGCAGGCCATGCTGAGAGGAAAAAAAGCGGAAACTTTGTTTTGATATTTTACAGTCAGGATGGGCGGGCCCGGATCGACAGCCGCGCGCGATGTGCGCCGCGTCCCATATGCGCGCCGCGTCCCATCGTTGCTACATATTTCGCACCGTCGGCGACAAGGCACGGCATGATGAGAGGAAAAAGCGAAGACTTCGTATTGGTTTTTTACAGTCAGGGTGGGCGGGCCCAGATTGACTGCCGCGCGCGATGTGCGCCGCGTCCCATTCCTGCCACGCTTTCCGCATCGTCGGCGACAAGAAAGACGATGTTGAGAAGAAAAACGGCCACTTTGCATTGATTTTTTATAGTCCAGATGGGAGGTCCCCGATTGGGCCGCTATCGGCCGGAATACGAGGTAGGTGGGGGTAGTATGTTCTAATAATGAACAAGCATGGGTGTATGGGTGTGTGGGTGTGTGGGTGTGTGGGTGTGTGGGCGTATGGGTGTGTGAGTGCGTGTGGGTGTGTGGGTGTGTGGGTGTGTGTTTGTGTGGGTGTGTGGGTGTGTGGGTGTGTGGGTGTGTGTGGGTGTGTGGGTGTGTGTGGGTGTGTGGGTGTGTGGGTGTGTGTGGGTGTGTGGGTGTGTTGTGTGTGTGTTGTGTTTTGTGTGTTGTGTGTGTTGTGTGTGGGTGTGGGTGTGTGGGTGTGGGTGTGTCGGTGTGTGTGTGTGTGTGCGTGCGTGTGTGTGTGTGTGTGGGTGTGGGTGTGGGTGTGGGTGTGGGTGTGTGTGTGTGAGTGAGTGAGTGAGTGTGTGTGTGTGTGAGAGAGTTCGATCGCTTCTGCACCGAACCGCCCAAAGCAGACGCCACCCAGCCGCCAGGAACTCGAGGATCCTGATAGTTGCCGACAGGTGGGGCATGCGGGGAGCATCTGTTTGCAGCAGCTCGTTGCCCCGACGGATCGAATTCGTGCCCCCCCTCCGGGTCACCTCCCTCTGGTGGATATCGAGAGCAAACGGCCCCGTGGCAATTTTGGCTCAGGCTCCGAAGGGCCCCTTCGGCGCCGCCGCCGCGGGCCCCGCCCCCCGGCGGAGTTCCATACGACCTTAAATCGCGCGGCCTGGCTGCCGCTCGCGCGCCCGTGCCGGCAGTGCCTCGCACACGCCACCAGCCCAGGGAAGAGCGGCACAAGCAGAAACGCTCCAAGAACCCTTCTCGGGTACAGCCAGCACCCCAGGTAAGGGGATCCGGTTAGTGGTAGGGCCTCGGAGCCCCTACATTGGCCAGAATCACTAAACCAGGTCTGCAGTAACTCGTGTTCTTTCGGGTGACGGCAGTTCCGGTTAGTGGAACGGGGCGCAGGGGCGTCCCCCAGTACACATCATTTCACCAGGTCCCACTAAACCCAGTTTTGCCAACGCCCGACCTTCGGGCCATCAGCAGTTCCCGGGTAGCTCGTAGAGAGGTAAGACGGATTCAGATAAAGAAAGCCGGAGCCTCAAGGTAGCCCCGGAGCCCGTTCCGGCTTCCGTGAAAAACTCCGGAGAAGTTTGCTTAAATTCGCAGCGGGTCGAGGCCTTGTATAAGCGTTTCCCAATACGCATGCCCGGAAGCTCTCCAGAAGTTCCTTCGGAAGCTCTCTCCAGTTCCTTCCAGAGATCTTCGATAGGCCTTCGCACGCCCTTCTGGCGTCCTGCTATACGGGTTTTGGACCCCACAAGTTCATAGCCGTAGGTGTTTATCTATTTTCGATTTCCGGGGACCCCATACAGGGCCTTTGGATTGTCAAAGCACGACTCAGGATGAAGAGCTCACCCCAGGGAGTGGGTCGAGATTTCTGGGAGTCGACGCTATGAACAAATCATGACGTCGGGGGTGTGGACCTGGAAAGCCGCGCGAACTGCTCGGATTGGCGCCACACACACCCTCCGACCCTGGCGCCCGGAGCGCGCCAGGGGCCACGCCGGAGGCGCCCCCCTTGGGGGGGGGGCCAGCGCCGAGCCAAGAACTCCGCGCAGATCTCCGAAAGCATGTGCTTGGGCAGCTCTTCTGCTCCTTCTCTGAGATCCGACGTGGCGAAAAAAACTGCAGCATCACAACAGATCACCCAAGAATTACAACCAGAGCCCCCCTAGACCCGATCTTTCTGCATCATCTTTCCAGCCGAATCGATATGTGAGGGTCTCGGGGCGCGAAATTTGGCGAAAACTCCCATTGTGTTATGATGTCCCGACCTACTACTTTAGCATTGACCACCAGAAAGAATTTCGAGCACCAGGAATATACCGAAATTTGAAGGTTTTCACGTGTCGGGCCCTGGGAGGCGATTGTCGTTCGACACCTCGCCAGCGTGTCGGGCAAACACTGCTTCGATACCTCTCTGGGTGCTCGAAATAAGTTCTGGCAGTTGGTCCTTAAGTACAATGGGAACAATATGACCATTCTGGAAAAACTGCAACGTCCAGATCTCGGGGTCCTTCCTGGCCTCGGGAGAGAGTTATACAGGGCCCCCCCAAAATATTCACCACCACCACCACCCTCACCCCCTTACTCTCCCAGGAGAAAGCAGGGGGTTAGGAGGAGAGCAGAGGAGGGAGGGGGACTTGCGGTGGTGATGCCTCACCCCCTCCCTCTCACAGGAAAGACGACCCCACGTGGCGAAAAAATGCAACATCGTGAAAAGTCACGCCCAGAGGCCTAGACCCCATCCTTCTGCATCACTTCTCGAGCTCGATCGATCCGTGAGGGCCCTGGGGCCCAACAAAAGCGCGAAGACGCCCGGCTCGAAGAGATTGAGACGCCAGGATCTCAGGGGGAGGGGACGGAGAAAGGTAAGAGGAGGAGGAGGAGGAGGAGGAGGAGGAGGAGGAGGTGGAGGAGGAGGAGGAGGAGGAGGGAGGAAGGAGGAGGAGGAGGAGGAGGAGGAGACAAGGAGGAGGAGGAGGAGGAGGAGGAGGAGAGGAGGATGGAGGAGGAGGAGGAGGAGGAGAGGAGGAGGACTGAGGAGGAGGGAGGAGGAGGGAGGAGGAGGACTGGCGGCGGTGGTGGTGCCATCGCTGCCTGGGGCCCCGCGCCGGAGCGATGCCGCGCCCCGCGCGGTTGTTCCCCGCGGCCCTGGCCGCCGCGGCGGGCCTCCTGCGCGCCGCGAGCGGCCTCGCGCTGGCGGGCGAGGCGCCCGCGGAGGCGGCGTCGCCGCCCTCAGGCCGCCGCCGCCGCCGCCGCCGCCGCCGCCGCCGCCGTCGTCGTCGTCGTCGTCGTCGTCGTCGTCGTCGCCGCCGCCGTCGTCGTCGTCGTCTTGTCGTCGTCGTCTTGTCGTCGTCGTCGCCGTCGTCGTCTCGTCGTCGTGTCGTCCTCGTCGCTTTCGCCGGAGGGCCCTTCCGATGCGGGCTCCCAGGGCCCCCCCCCCCCCGGCACCCGGCCTGCGCGCTCGGATTGGGCCTTCCCGCGGCGCCCTGAAGCCGCGTCGGCTGGAGGCCGCGCCTGCCCAGGGTCGCTCTCGCGGGCAGCCGCCCCCCTCCTCCTCCTCCTCCTCCTCCTCCTCCTCCTCCTCCTCCTCCTCCTCCTCCTCCTCCTCCTGGGGGGGATGCACCGACCCCCAGTCGCACGTGGATCGCCGCTGAGGCGCCCGGATCCAGAGCGCCGAGGACCTGGAGCTCGCGATGCAGACCGGAGAGCAAAAAGCGGCGCACCCTGAGAGCCCGGCCACGGGCTTCCAGGGCTGGGGTCCGAGCAGGTGAGGTCGGAGGATCGCGCCACACCGCCGATGCATCCGCGGTGCGCCTCGATGATGAGCCCGACTTTCTCCACGCCGACGGCGCCGATGCACCGCCGACGTCGCCGATGCATGGCCGATGCATCGATGATGCCCCGGCGATGCGGCGCGACCCTCCGACCCCATAGACTCCGACCCCATCTGGAGACCTCTACTAGTGTTGCTTGGCGGCGCTCGCAGGGGGTAGTGGGAGGGGGGAAAGCTTCTTAGACGGAGGCTGCTTCTTAGCAGGCGCGGGCCTAATCTATAGATGTACGGCCCGCGCCTTCTAGGAAGCAGCCTCATTCTAAGAAGCCTCCCCCCCTCCCCCTACCCTCCTGTGCGCGCCGCCAAGTTGCAAGGCCTTCCACGCGGGCGTCTTCGCCGGGTTTCGGGGCCCAGGGGCACCACAGGTCGAACCAGCTCGAAGAGTGCCGCGGAGAGATTGGGCCTCCGGTTCTCCGGCCGTGAGTTCTGGCGACGCTCCGTGCTCTTCCCGCGGCGTCGGACCTCAGGGCAGACGTAAGCTCTGGGAGGTCCGCGCGGTGCTCTCGGGTCGGCGCTGGACCCCCTTGGCGACGCCTTTGGCGCCGCCCCCGGGGCGCAGGAGGCGCGCCAGGGTCGGGCGCAGCGCCGGTCCAAGAAATCCGAGAGGGCCTCTGAAACTTCACGTTTGTGCAGCTGTTTTCTTCTTCTAGCAGAGGCAGGATCTCCACACTCGCTTCAACCGGAGGCAGGGGTACCTGAAGTGTCCCGTCCTCAACACGACCGGGAGCCGCATCGTCCACATGCTGTATTTTCCGTGGAACAAGACCACGCAGACCCTGAAGGCCAACGAGTCGGACTTTGACCACGACTTCTACGAGCGGTTTTCGAACCTGCTGAAGGGGAAGTATTGCGTCAAGCTCTGGAAGCTATCGGACATGCGCTCGTACGTGACGGCTGAGTACCCAGGCCTGTGGGAGCTGGTGGAGCAGAAGGCGGATCGGCCGGTGGCGCTCGTAGATTTCTACCGCCTGCTCGTCGTGCACGACTTCGGTGGCATTTTCTGGCAGTATGGTTCAGAGCTGACCAATTCGGCACTGAGGCTATCTGATCCTTTTGACCAGTTTTTGCCGCCGAAGGGCATGAGCGCAAGGCTCCTGGTCGAGAAATGGATCACGCAGGCGGATGCAGACGAGATGGGCAGGACCAGGAAAAGCCGAAAGGGAATTCCGCCAACTTTGAGGCGTATTGCGACTCAGGTCTTCTCCGCGAGCCCGCATAACGAGTTCTTGCGCTTCGCGAGCAAGAGGGCCATCTGGAATTTGCTGACCATCCCCGTCGAGCGAGACTACGACATCTTGGAGACGATGGGCAACGGCATGTTCTCGGAAGCCTTCAACGACTACGCGAAGTTGGGAAAGGCCAGCAAAATTGACGTGGTAGACTTCGATGAAGTGGGGCACATGGTGAGGTACTCCCACACATTCTCGTGGCGCAGAGACAAAGGGCGCTGCTGCTGAGAGAGCTAGAGCTTCGAGACATGGTTCCATCTGTGACCAGCAGGGTGTTCAGCCGCCTTCGCGTGCCACAGCAGCAGTCGTGTTGGATGCGGCAGAAAGCAGGGTTCATGATGGAAGGTAATGATGGTAATACTCGTAATGATGATAATGGGATTGTACGAGTGAGGTTAGTGATGGTGATGGTGGTGACGGTGATGGTGGTGGTGATGGTGATGATGATTGTGATGGTGATGGTCATGATGTGGAGGAGGATAATGAGGATGGAGATGAGGATGAGAATATGGATGGGGATGACGATGATGATGACGATGATGATGGTGATGATGACGACGATGCTGATGCTGCTGATTATGATGATGATGCTGATGATGATGAAATTTATAATGGTGGTGACGGTGTTGATGATGATGATGCCTGTGGATGATGACGACGATTACGGTGATGATGACGATGACGACAATGACAACGATGACGATGATGGTGATGATAATGATGATGATGTTGATGATGATGATGTTGATGATGATGATGATGATATCGACGATGATGATGATGATGATGATGATGATGATGATGAGGATGAGGATGAGGATGAGGATGAGGATGAGGATGAGGATGAGGATGATGAGGATGATGCCGATGATGATGAGGATGATGAGGATGATGAGGATGATGATGATAGTGTTGGCGAGAAGCATGGTGATGTTGATGATGGCGATGATGGCGGTGATGATGACGCCGACGTCGATCAGCAGGAGGTGGAAGAGGGAGTGGAACAAAAGGGTAAACAAGACGGACGAGAGGGAGCAGGCGGAAGAGCACGAGGGGGAGAGGGCGGATGAGGCCGAGGAGGTTCAGGCGTCGGAGGGGGGGGGGAGGCAGAGGAGGAGGGGTGGAAGCGGAGGACTGGGAGTGAGGCCGCCCATGGGCCTCTCTTGGCCGCCGTTTCTGCCTGCTGGTGCACCCGAGCTGCTCCTCGGGAGGCTTGGGCACCCTTTGGCCGCCCCTCATGCCAGCTGGTCGCCCGTGGCAGCGCCTGCAGGTGTGTGCTGCTTCTGTTTGACTTCGGGCCGTGGCCCGTCGGCACCTCTTGACGCGCAGGCGGGGTGCGTGGAGACAGGCCAAGTACCTGGAGCAGCCTTGGTATTTATTTGGCGGGGCCCCTGGAAGACCCGACCGACCGCAGCCCCCAAAGACATGTTTCATCGCTGGTTGTTTCCGGCCCTCCTGTGGCTTGTGCTTCCCCTGTCGCGAGTTCTGGGCTTCTCTAAGCTAGCCTGTCTCGGAGTGCCGGAGTGGCAAGCTCATGTGAGCATGCGTTGCTTGTGGTGGTAGGCGATTGCGGTGTTCTTTCCATCTTCCTTCCTCACGCCTCCTGCTCGTCAACGTCGTAGCTGTCGTCTTCCAACTCCTCCTCCTCCTTCTCCTCCTCCTCCTCCTCCTAGTCCTCCTTCTTTTGATCAGGCCAGCCCTGGCGGCCGCTTGGACCCTCGTTGAAGTTGGCCCTGAAGGTCGGACCGGGCCCCAGCGCCCGGAACACGCAATCTGAAAAAAGTAAGCCCCGTCCGTCATGTTTCCTTGTCACCTTTCTCACCCCTCTTCCCACTCCTCCTGCTCCTCCTGTTCCTCCTCCTCCTCCTCCTCTTGCCCATCACCACCATCATCATCATCCATTTATGGCTCAAGCGGCGGCATGGGCTGGGGCTCACAGCTGCCATCTGTTTCACGACTCTGCCTGATAGTTCTATCGGTCGATGGGCTCTCGCAGTCGCTCGCGGCGCTCGCGCGAGCCAGTGCCCGCAGCACCCATGAACGGTCATGCGATGATGGCTTACTTCAGGGAGATGCTGCGCTCAGAGATCAAGGAACCGATGGCCAAAGACTTCGCGGAAATGAAGACATCCATCGACAACGTTCGCAGGGACGTCAAGAAGCACGAGGGCCGTCTCAACAACATGGAGCAGGAGTTCAAAAACCTACGAGAGGGACGCTCGGTCGGGCCTCCGTTGCGCTTCTCGGGGTTCGAGAGGGCGGCACAGTCGGTCCCGTCCAGGCCAAAGAAGGCGAGCGACAAGATTTGCGTGACCATCGGCGGCTGGGATCGGGACACGCCCCGCGACACCATCCTGAACGAAGCTCTCGCGTTCACCGACACGATTCCCGACAAAGCAGAGGATGGTGTGTTCGTACCGCTCTAGCGTGCCAGCTTCCTGAAGGTCCGTTTCACGAGCTCGGGGCGCATGTGGGCCTGGGTGCGCTCTATGAAGGGGAAGCAGATTTCTATGCCGCAGCCGCATCACCGGGGTCGACGATTTTGGTTCTCTGTGGAGAAGTCCCCAGAGGAGATCCGGCTCTCAATGATGATCACGCGCGCGAAGAAGGAGATGATAGACAACCTTGGTGTGCAGACGGCCGACCTGGAGCTGGACTGCATTCGTGGCAGTGTCTGGTGGAAGCAGCGCAGGTTCGGCGAGATGGCGAGGACCACGGGCCTCATGCGTTTCAAGGAGCACGTCGCGGCCGAGATCAGCGCCCACACAGGCGCGAACCTGAACCTAGTCGAGTCCCAGACAGGTCAATTCGGGCCAGTGACTGGACACGGAGCGGACTCTAGTGGAGTCCGAGGAGCAGATGAGCTCCAAGCAAATCAGCTGGAACGCTCAGGGAACTGCAAAGCACAACGCCGAGTTCTTCGCGGCGACGCTGCGCGAGCATCACGACTACGATGTCGCCATCCTCCAGGAGGTGGGCTGCTGGGGCAAGACCACGAAGCTAGAGGTCGGCGAAGGCGACCTCTACCTGGTCACACCGCGAGTCGAGGGGCAGAAGCAGATGGGGCTGCTGGTTCGCTCTCGGGCTCGATTTTCTCTACGAGGGGACGTGCTGCCATGGGGGCGTTCGGCGGCACGTCATTTTCGCATTCGCAAGAAGGGCTACTGGATCATATGCAGTCGCCTTTTTCCTGGACACTCTCTCAGCCAGTACGAGGACTCTATGGAGGAGCTCTCCGGCCTGATCACGACGGCGCCGCCTGGGGCGCGTCCGATCGCGGGCGTGGACGCGCAGACGGCCCCGCCCCCCCCACAGGTGGAAGAGGAGCGCTGGATTGGGAACTTCCCAGTCGGCCAGCGCACGCGTCGCGCCGAGATGTTGACGAGGCTTCTGATGCAGCACGACCTTGCGGCGACGAACGCGTTCATTGCGGCGGCCAGCGGACCCGCCTGCCACTGCGATTTCAAGCACCCGCCAGCCCAGGTCGATTATGTCCTGACCCCTGCTCGCGACATCTGGAAGATCAGCACCGCGCTCGAGGAGATCACCGACAGCGCGCAGTCCGACCGCTCGGCCATCAAGCTGGAGCTCATCCTCGGCACCAGGAGGCGCTACATTTGGAACGGAGGTCGTGCGCCTATAGAGGACTGGACCTGCCTCGACAACCGCTTTCAGCGTTGGAGCCACAGCGCCTGCTGCGCCGACCGCAACCCAGCGCCAGTTACTTCTATGACGGACGCGGTGTACCTGGCTGCCGCAGCCTGTGGCAGGGGCCCGCCAGCGCGGCAGGTAGGTCCCCAGGCTCCCCGGGAGCCGCGAGTTCATGCAGACGCTGCGGGTGCTGGAGGCAAGTCGACCGCGTACAGCGCGCGATCAACAGCAAGGACGTCATCAGGATTCGCAGGAAAATCTGGACCGCGAGCGGGGCCCTGCTGCGCGGGCCCTGCTGCGCGGCTTACGCGAGGCTGGCAATCCTCGAGTACGAGCACCTCGCCGAGCTCAGCTTGGGCCGGCCCACAACCAGCCGATGATCACGGAGGGGGAGATCGAGGACGACCCGCTGCAGATCAAGGAGCTTCTGGAGCGCGAGTACGGCAACACCTTCAGAGCCGGCGACGGGATGGAGCCCGTCGGGGTCTCTGCCTACCCCACCCACTTCACGACGGAGGACGTGCTCGACATCCCGCCATTCTCGCCCGAGATGCCCCGCGAGGCTCCGACCGACATGAAGGTCATGAAGGCGCCTGGCGTGGGCGGGGTGGTCGCCGACGTCCTGCAGGCCCTCGACTCGGGTTTCCTCGTCTCGCTCGCGGCCGTCTCCGAGAACAGCTGCCGCGGGGTGCCAGAGCATGCCGGGGGCCAAGCCTGGTCGAAGCACATCATCCAGCTCATGACGATGGGAGACAAGCACGCGCTGCAGGGGCACAGGCCGACAGCGCTCCTGACCACCTTCGAGCAGCTCTACCGGATCGGCCCGATCAAGGAATGTGGCAGCAAGCTGACCCTGCGGAGCCCACAGTGCGCCGATCGGAAGTTCCACCAAGCGGTGGACGCGATCTTCAGCATGCGCATGCTGGTGGAGAAGGCTCGCGAGTGGAGCCGACCCATCTTCATCGTGGACGGCGATATCGAGGCGGCCTTCGACCGTGACTCGCACCGCTCGGTCGAGGAGACGCTGCGAAGAAGGGCTGCGCCAAGGCCCGTGATCCTGGCCATCGCGAGGGAGTTGATGGCCCCGGCGGTGATCAAGACGGGCTCGATCCAGACGCAACCAGCACCTCGGACTTGCGGCATTCGACAAGGAGACCCAGCCAGCACGATCCTCTTCAACCTAGTGCTGGAGGATGCCTAGGAGGAGTTTCTGGACGAGCGCTGGGCACACGGCCGGGGATTCGAGTTCCCGGGCGAGGCGACGCCGCACGAGGCGGGGCTACTCTACGCCGACAACTTCTGGCTGTTCGCGGGCACGGCCGAGCCGCTACGCCAGATGACGATGGCCTGGCGACGCATCCTACGAGATCACGGTTGCCCCGTACCTCCCTCTGGTCTGACCTGGGGCACGGCGGCGCTGGACCACGAGTTCGGCGACTACCAGACGAGGGTCGAGGACGGCATCTTGACGCGCGCGCCTCGCGCCGAGGGCCCCCCTGCCTCGGCTCTGCCTTCACCTTCGACTGAAGGTCTTGGAAGGACACGCAGCACAGGGTTGCGCGCTTGGCGAGCCTTTTACGCTCCCAAGCTATCTCTACCTGGACGCGCCTGCCGCTGGCAGCAGGCCGCGAAGCTGCTCGAGCCACCATGCCTGTCTTGCTCTATTGGTCGTGGTCGTGGTGCCCCGCGGTCAAGGACCTGAATTTAATTCGCACCACGCGCCGCAAAATGTTCTCTCCGCTGATTTGCACGCAGAGACGGAAGGAGGAGACGCCAGAGGACTTCTGCCGCAGCCGCTGGCGCCGAGTCTCTGCCGCCCCCCAGTTCCCGACATGGGGCATGGATGTGAGTCTTCGCAGGCCCCCCTGGGCTGGTCATCTAGCCCGCCCGGCCGCAATGCTACGCGCCACACCTGCCCAGCTGGTGCCTGTCCACCTGCTCAAGTGGCGCAGCATGGCCTGGCCCCAGAGAATGAAACGCGAGCGCGGATCCCAGGCGCATGGCCGCAAGTTCCAGGCCTGGCCAGGCTTGGCGATGCGAGATGGACCTCGCTCGTCCGCTCGGTTCCGACTGGCCAGCGGGCGCAGGCCAGCGCAGCAAAGTGGAATGGTTCGCTCGCGTTCGTCCGCACTTCGACCTTGTTCGGAGCCGACGGGGAGCTCGAGGTGCAGGCGCAGCTGCCTGCTTGCTCTGACCTGCTTGCTGGCGCCCCCTCTCCGCTCGGATCACCGCCGCTCGGGGTTGCGCGGTCGCGGCTGCCTCGGCTACCGACGCTGCGATCAAGGAGCTGACCGCTCAGGTGACCAAGGCAAACGAAGCCGTCACCATGGTCTCGGCTCAGGTTAGTGAACTTGCGTCCACCATTGCTGCATTGCAGAAGGGCATGGAGCAGCAAGAATAGAACGCTGCTAAGACCGAGGCTGAGATTCAGAAGCTTCGAAGCATGTCTAGTATCGGTGCTCCGTCTTCCCAGGCTTCCGAGGGCCCGTTCAAGAAGTTCCGCGGGTCGCCTTCCTCCCGCGGTGGAAGTTCAGATATCCTGTCATAGGCCATCGTGGTTGGTTCCGTGGAAGAGTTCGCTCGCGAGGTCCTTCATGATGTTGGTGTTGCAATTTTCCCTGCTTGCGCTGATGAAGAAGTGGAACAGGCCATGACTGCGACGCCCCAGAACTCCTCGAAGAAAGTCATTATGGCGTTCCCCTCGGCTGACGCGGCAGAGCGCACCCCGATGACGCCGCGGAAACACTTCCCCGAAGGTTTCGAGTTCATGACCCCGAAGGGCCCCGAAACGCTCCGCGCGAAGCCTGTCCGTGGCGCTGAGACGACTATGCAGTTGACAGCTTTGGGTAAGGTTCGTGGTGAGCTCGAGGAAGTTGTGAGGTCGCCTCCCTCTCGAAAGGACTAGTTTGTCGATTCTTCGGTCATCAACGGGTTCATCTTCGTGTCGGATGCAGCATCGGGGGGCGCGGTGAAGCTCTACCACGCCTCTAAGCCCGCCTCCCTCTCCGCCCCGCCTCGTGCGATCGCTCTCGCGCGCCACTTCACCCAATTCGGTCTCGGCGACAAGTATCAGTCGATTGTCGATAAGGTGATGGGCCAGCTAGGACTTTGACAGCCCTGCGCCATCTACATCTGCGGGCGCCCCGCCTGGAGCCCGGGCTGGGCGGCCCGCGCAGGGCATCGCCTCGCTCTGCGCGCGGGCCAAGTTAGCGAGGCACAGTTCGCTATTGGAGAGATCGGGGCGGCGCAGTTCCCCCCTCCCCCCTGCCGAAGTAACCGCCATCAGTCGTCGCTTGGACACTTGGAATGCGAGAGGGTTGTCTGGGGGCGTCGACAGCAGGAAGGGTCGGGTTTTCTCTCGTCGGCGCACATTCAAAAACCTTTATGCAGACAGCTCGGCGAGGGTCCACTTCTGCGGTGCATCCCTGGCGACCTTCTTCGCGGGTCGCGGGGTCCGACGGGGGCGCCTTGCCTCCATGCCTCCGTTCGCCCTCGCCCTGGGCCCCTATCGCAGGTGGCTTCTCGAGACAGGCCCCCCCCCCCCCCCGGGCTTGGACTTCTCAGGCTACGCCGACAACCTATGGTTCCATTTCGAGGACACGTCTTCCGATCTGCCTCCCGCCCGGGATAAGATATGTTTCCTCTCGACGGCGGTTGGGCTCGGACTACGCTTTGGGAGATGTTGTTCTAGAGGGCGGCTCTCAGAACCTGCGGGGCGGTTCGAACTTTCTGGCGCCTGCGGGGCGGGATTGCGAATGTTTCCCGGTCGTTCGGCGGCGCCGCTATCTTGGGGTTCCCGTGGGTCTTGGGGCACATCTTCACAGCTGCCCCACTCAATGCGGTGAATACTTATTCCGTGCCTGTAGGATTCGCGGGGTGGAAGTGGGATGGGCAGAATCGATTGTTGTCTACAATGTGCGGGATGTGACCGCCATCCTCAGCTATGTGCCTCAGTTCCACGTTCCTACTCCTCGTTCCTTCCAGTAAAAAGATCGCGCCCTGTAAATTATGTTCTCGGGCCCGCGGGCCATGGAATGACCTGATCACCGCCAGATAGGTCTCTGGGTGGTTTGCAGACGCGTTTCTCTCGTATATGGCTGGCGCGGTGGCTGACCTTTCCCCGATAGCAGCCACTATTGACCCTGATCCTGCGTTGGTGACTCAGGAGAGGTTGGTCAGATACTTGCGCAACGCTGCTAATCCGGGGGTGATGATTGATGAAGTTCCTACAAGAGTTTTGAAGTGGCTCCCTCTCCTTCTCGACAGTGCTGCATGGTTTCCGATATTCCAGGCTCGGATGCGAAAAGTTTGCGTCTCCGCTTGTATGTTTTAATTGTTGTCGTCCTGCGGGTCTTCTGCCGAGGGCATTGGACCTCTGCGAGGTTCCACGCCGATCCGAAACCATGCCTTTTTGGTTGCCGCCACGGCCGTGGTGACCAGCGTCACTATGTCCAGTGTCATCGTGTCCTCGTTCTCTCTTCGTTTTGGGCTCCTTTTGTCTTTCCTCTCGGCTTTGCTTCTCCTTTTCCTGGCTTGTGTTGTGTCGACGGCCGTGCGCCCGATGTCAAGCGCGACGTCGCCTTCTGCGACTTGGTCGACAGTTTTGTTCACGCGCGCTCGCAATTTCGTCTTCGGACTGCTCTCGGTCGCGCGTCTTCTGAGCAAGTCTTCGAGAGCCGTTTACGTATTCTGATGCAGAGGCACCCAGCGATTCGGGCTGCTGTGCAGTATCTCCCCAATCCTGGCTGTTCGATGCCTGTAGTTTTAGGGTGTGTGTTTTTATTAGCGGACGTGTGGTCCGCCCCCTCCTTTCTCTGCTCGGTCCGTGGGCCGTCCTTCCCCCCGTCGTTGGCCCTGGGATTCCTCCCTCGGTCCTCGGGTGTTTTGACCGGTGCCGCTTGCTCTCCCCGGGGCCCTCGGTGCTGCCTCTCTCGTGGAGCTGCAGCTCGATGCGCGCGGGTGTCTCGGATCTGCGCGTGGGCGCCCCAGGCGGCGCCTCGAGCGCCGCCAGTGGCGCGCTGCGCGCGCCAGGAAAGGGGGTCCAGCGCCGATCCGAGAAACCCGCGCGGACCTCCGAAGTTCTGTGCTCGCGTCATTGCTTGCTGCTCCGAGCACCTGGCGCGGCCGATCCGATGCAACGTGCTGGTCCTAAATCGGGCGTGTCCTTCTACAGGAGGAGTAGTCAAAAGTAGTAGAGGAAGTAGTCTGGGGACGATGTTTCGGTTGTTTGTAACCAGCTTCGACTATTCTTGATTTTTTCCGTACTGAAAACGCCTGTGGGAGGATATTCCCGACCCAATGTTGGCACGATGCCGACCGATCCCGCAGGTGGGACCACATGGTCCGGTCCGTGCCGATGATCGTGTCGCTGTGCCTCTGCGGCATCTCCTTCTCTGGCGCCGACGTGCCAGGCTCACCCTCGCCGGCCTTCGGGGGGCCGCCGTCGTCGCCCTCGACGGCGGCGGCGACGAAGATGACCGGACGGAGAGGCGGTGAACCCCCTCGGGTCATGAAAACGTCATGGCGACAGGTTTTCCGCTATTTTCGGTCTGTGGAGGCTTTTCCCATGCATCGGGACCGTCCAAAAACTGTTCCCGGCGAGTGTGTCGAGACCTCTGGGGGTCGACGTTACGAAACAATCATGACGTCGGGGGTCCGGGATGCGAGGGGGCAAGAAGGTTCCATGAGAAGAGCAGCTCGAGATGAGAAACGGGCCTGTCGCTCTACAGGCGGAGTATTCAAAATAGTCAAAAAAAAATTGGCACATTTGTTTTATCACTTTTGGAATATTGTTCGGCATGTTTGGTGTATTCTAAGTTTTTCGTCCAAAATCCCCCTGTAGGGGGACATGCCCGACCCAGAGCTCGAGATGATAAGCAGGCCCAGGGGAAACGGTCGAGAGGTCCAGAGGCCACGCAGGTTGGTTGGGTTCATCAGGGGGGAGGGGGACGAGGAGAAGGAAGGATCAGGGATGAGGGAGGAGACGATCGCAAACATGGAGTAAAGGGGCGTGGATTAGCGACGGATCCCGTTTCCAGGGGAAATCGCGGATTTCCGCCGCCGAGCGAGGCGGCACCGGCCGCATTCTGGGGAGGGCACCTCCCCCGATCCATGGATTCGGCGACCGCGCGCCGAATCCATGGATCGCTGATCCCTGTTTGCGCGCCCCTGAGAAAGGAGGGATGGAAGAGGAGGAGAGAGGAGGAGGAGGAGGAGGAGGAGGAGGAGGAGGAGCAGGAGGAGGAGGAGGAGGAGGAGAGAGGAGGAGGAGAGAGGAGGAGGAGGAGGAGGAGGAGGAGGAGGAGGAGGAGCAGGAGGAGGAAAGAGGAAGGGGAGGCGAAGGAGGAGGGAGGCGGAAGGGGAGCACGACCCCCTTTCTGCCCCTGCGGAGCCATCCAAGCAACCAGCCCCACTGCAGAGCAGAGATGGATCTCAGCTTCTATGATTTTCGAGCGACTCTTGTAGTGTTAAGCTGGGCACGCCCCTCTACAAGAAAAAACCCAAAATTGTAATTCTAAAAAGATAGTCTGGGGACGAGTGTTCGATGAGTTGTTTTACAATGTGTGCGTACTTTGACTACTTCTTATTTTTCGTTCAAAATCCGCCTTTAGGAGGACATGCCCGACCTGATTGCAGTGGCGAAACCAAGCTCAAACGCAGGATCGGCGGAATTCCTATCGCCACTTGTGAGCAGGGCTTGCGCCGAGGGGATCGCATATGTCCTGTTTGTAATGGCTCGGCATGGGCTGTCGGAGATCCTGAGCGTGTCTAGCGGTATGAAGGCTTCGCGGTCACACGAAGTATCATTTGGGCAAGGCCACTTCGATTACGTTCCACCCTGCAAGGCGCCACCACTCGAACAGCAAAACTTGCGTAAGCATGATTTATCGGAGGTCCGCGCGGATAGATTGGCTCAGCACGAAAAATTGTGTGTATTCAGTTTTTGCTGGATTCATCGAGCCACATTTCCCCACCCCCTGGGGTCCGCAGCCATTTGCGCTTGAGTTTTTCCGCCGCCGTCACATTCGCTTGAGTCGGGCATGTCCCTCTACAGGAGGACTTTGCAGAAACAGTCAAGAAATAGTCAGGGGACGATTTTGCAACCATGTTTCCGCATGTTTACAAAACTGCTGGTGGTACTGTCAACTCTTCGTCCAACATCCGCCTGCAGAGGGGGACACGCCCGACCCGAACATTCGCCGCACCTTCCGCCCATGGCCGCCGCAGGCGCGTCGCGGGCCGATCTTGGCGGGCAGCCGCAGGCGGGGCCGGCCTGGCCGTCGCGCCCCGCGCCGCCCAGAGGAGCGTCCCGATGTGAGAGCGACCTTTCGCCGGAGTGCCCAGGAGGAGGAGGAGGAGGAGGAGGAGGAGGAGGAGGCGGAGGAGGCGGAGGAGGAGGAGGAGGAGGAGGAGGAGGAGGAGGAGGCCGTCGGTGCAGGCTGCGGGCCGTTATAGGCCTCCCGGATGGGGTCGGAGGAGACCACCACAACGGCGATGCATCGGCGATGCGGCTCGACGTAGGGCCCGATTCGCTTCACGTCGACGTCGCCACTGCATCGCCGACGTCGACGATGCACTGCCGGTGCATCCCCGATGCATCGCCGATGCATTGCCAGTGTATCGGCGATGCGGCGCGACCCTCCGACCCCATCTACTCCGACCCCACCTAGGAGGCCTCTAAGGCTTACCAGGGTGCTTTCGATCGCTGAGCGCGATGCGATGAAGGCCGCCTGCGCGCTTGGATGTGGCCACCCTGCGCCGCCGTAATCCGCGCACTGGAGGCCACTCTTGCTTACTCTGGGTTTCTCAATCAGCGTGGGGGGTACCCCCCCGACGGGGGTCAACCTTGCCTCATCGTCGCGCCGCGACGGGGGTCGGAGCGCCTTCGGCGCGTGGTGGTTGCCCGCGACGAGGGTCGATGTGGGGCTGTCGGCGGGGGCGACGACCCCCGACGCTTATTCTTAAGTCGAGCCTGTCCCTCTACAGGGGGAAAATTCCAAAATAGTAAAAACATAGTCAGGGGACGATTTTTTGATCATTGTTGCGTATGTTTTGTATATTTTGGGGGGTATGTGTTATTTGTCGTCCCAAATCCGCCTGTAGGGGGACACGGCCGACCTAAGCTTACGGGTGGGGGCGTTGGTTAAGGAATGCTCCCAGGATGCTGCAGACCCTGGAGGATTCCTTATCTGAGGAGGGCGGCGGTGATATCCATGGCCAAGCTTCGATCGGAGTTCCACCGGCCTCGAGACCCTGGATTCCTTATCTGAGGGTTCCATATCCAATGCCTCCACCGTACTCAGACATTCGGAGTAGGGCCACTCCTTGCGTGCAGCCTGGAGGAGCGACGCGCAAGATGGTCTCCTTCGACATGGCTCTGGAGTGCTTCAGCCCCGCCGGCCTGGCGGAGGAGTTCGTCCAGGCTCCGCGGCGCGCCGGCGGGGGGGGGGGGGGGGGCCTCGGCCTCTCTCGGGCATAGCCAGGACCCCAGGCAAGGGGGCCCAGTCAGTAGTGGGGCCCCGGAGCCCCTAAATTGGCCAGAATCACTAATCCAGGTCTGCCGCAGCTGGTGTTTTGTTCGGGTGACGGCAGTTCCGGTGAGTGGAACGGGGCTTGGGGGACGCCCCTCAGTACACATCACTAAACCAGGTCCCACTAAACCCAGTTCTGCCAACGCCCGACTCTCGGCGAGACGGGGGGGTGGCCAGGGCTCATTTCGATTCCTCCGGTTCGGTTCGATTCGATCTCGATCGCTTCCGATTCCGATTCGGCTTCGGCGTCCGATGTGGGCTCCGATGTCTCGTCGTGCCAAGCTCACGTAGTCAGTCGGTCGTGTGGCTGCGTGTGGGTCGTAGTCCAGAGCAGTTCGCACGTTGTTCGATCGCGCCCCAACCAACCAATCCTCGTCCCTCCCTGCCTCCCCCCTTGCTTCATTCGGGCCAGACGAAGGGGGGGGACTGGGAAAGGGGGATTGCGAAATCTGCTGAATGCAGCTGGTTTCAGCCCCACCGAGAGGCCCATTCCTCGATACACGGCCGCCTCCGGCGCCGGGAGGCGCCGGGAAAATCAGCCACGTGAGCTGATTCTCAAACCCCCATTTGCTATCCCCCCCTTTCGCCCGGCCCGATTCCTGCCCACGTGCTGCGCGCCGCCGCCAGGCGCTGCGCAACGACAGCCACGCGAGGCTGGGCTCCCCCGCCAAGGGCAGAGCGCCGCTGCGGGCTCGGGCCGTCTGGCAGGAAGGCAGAAATGAAGAGCTCTCGACGCCTCGCGTAGCCCCACCAGTCCATCCCGAAGCAGATCGCCATGGTGGGCTTGTTTTCCACCACCACCACAATGAGTTGGAGGGGGGAAGGAGGAGGACGAAGAGGAGGAGGACGAAGTGAAGGAGGAGGAGGAGGAGGAGGAGGAGGAGGAGGAGGAGGACCCTCTCCCCCTCCAATGTATGGTGGTGGTGGTGGTGGTGGGAAACAAGCCCATTACGCCAGGCGTACCCCCCCCCCCCCCCGAGCAGGGGAAGGAGAGAGCTTTGGCAGAGGGAAGATCAAACTCGGTAAAAATGACCTACGCTCAGAGGGCCGGTGGGATATGTGGGTCCTGGAGGCGGCTCGGAAGCTGACGGAGGCGGCCTTGGCCCAGGGTGGCCGCAGCCTTTTCCAGGGAGGCCTGGGTTCGAACTCGAACCTGTCTGTTTATGCCTGCTTGCTTTCGATAAGTTGGCCTACCGTTCTGAGAACATTCCCAACCCAGTGTTGCCCAGTGCAGTGGTTCCTACCTGACTTGAAGAGCCGGCGGGTGCTAGGCGCGGTCGTCGCCGGGTTCCCCGGTGGTCTTGGGCTCTGTTCCCCCACTGGGGGTTCCCGGGGTTCCATGGCTTCGCTTCTTTACAAGACCTTGCCTGGGTTCTTTCATGTTGGTTCTTCGGACTTGGTTCCTTGGTTCCTTCGCCTTCTGTATGGGACTCCTTGATCCGAGTTTGTTTTGGTTTCTTTCTCTTGGTTCTTTGGTTCCTTGGTCTCGGTTCCTTGGTTGTGGTACGTTGGTTCCTTGGTTTCGGTTCCTTCGTTCCTTAGTCCTTGTTCCTTGGCATTGGTTATGTGTGTCCTTGGTCTTGGTTCCTTGGCCTTGGTTTTTGGTTTCTTGTCTTTGGTTATTTGGTTATTTGGTATTGGCTTCTTGGTTACATCTTGGGTTCCTTGGCTTGTGTGCAGTCATTCCCTGGTTTTCGTTCCTTTGTTTTGATTACATCGGTCCTTAGGCATTTGGTCTTGGCGCCTTGGTTCCTTGGTTGTGCTTCCTTGGTCCTTTGGTCTCGGTTCCTTGGTCCGGGGTCGTGGACTCGTTTCCGTCAGGGCCCAGTTTTCCGCACCCCAAAGGACGACGCTCCAGACAGATCGGCATCATCGCCAGTGTTTGGCGACACCAGTACGCCACCATGTGCGCAGAAGGAGCAGGATCGTGGGAGGTGACGATCAGCAGAAGGCAGCTATACACTACCACTGTGCCTGGCTGGGCTGTCCTGGACTCTGATAGTGTATAGACCCTCCTGGTTGTGACGAGGGCTCATACACCGCGCCAAAGCCAGGAGTGATGGTGGTGTATAGATAGATGCTTCCTGCGTTGGCGAAATCCGTTCCCTACTATCCCTGCGCCCATCGATCTGGACTGGCTTCACCAGTGGGTGCTCGCGACGCCCGCGCCACTCGCAGTCTCTGAGCCTCCACACGTGTCCACTTGGCGGCGCTCGGATGTTTGCATACTTTTCCGGTGCAGACCAAGGAGGAATATTTGGGGCCATCTTGCGAAGATTGAGCACGGAACCGACAAATGCATGGGGAACGGACGTTCGAGCGACCAGTCCAGTGCCTTCCCTGGATCTGGAGCGGTTGGCTACGAAGCCTGCCGCGTGCAGCCAGCTTCGGCCCAGCTGCCCGACACGCTCCTCGCTGCATGGCCGCCTCTGGCGCGGGGAGGTGCCAGGAAAGCCGGGCGCATGCTGCTGGCTCGGGCAATCTCCTGTTTACCGCCCCCCGTTGCGTCCAAATCGGTCGAGAGGAGGACGACGCTGAATTGGCCGAGATGAGTTTTTGAATTCCAAAAAGTGGTCTCTGAATTCAAAAAACTGGCTCTTGAAGTCAAGAATATGTTTTTTTAGTTCAAAAAACTGGTTTCTGAATTCAGAAAATGGTTTTTGAATTCGAAAAGTTGGTTCTTGGATTCCAGAAGCTGGCTTTTGAATTCAAACATTGCTTTTCTGAGTCCAAAAATTTGGTTCTTGACTTCAGATAGCTGTTTTCAATTAAAAAAACCGCTTCTTGAGCTCAAAGAAATCAGAGGAGGACGACGCCGAGTTGGCCGAGATCGAGGCCTTCGCCGACGAGCAGGCACGGCGCTTCATGCCCACGATCGACCGGCGGCGCGCGCGCCGGACCGCGACCGCCAGCGTCGGCCGCGCGGCGCAGGCTCGGGGGGCGGACAGAACCCCCACCCCGACACGTCGATTAGTGAATATTCCTCCTCCCCTCCTCCCCCTCCTCCTCCCCCTCCTCCCCCTCCCTTCCCTCCTCCTCCTCCTCCTCCTCATTCACAGCGGGGGTGGACAGAACCCCCACCCCGACACGTCGATTCGTGAATTTTCCGTTTTCGGTTCTCGGGAAGACGCCGCGGCCGTCATTTTCTGGGCCTGCGCCCGCCAGATTTGGGCCCGAGAGCGTTCTCATTAGACCACGTCTTGTCGAAGGGGGTTCTGTCCATCCCCGACAGGCGGACAGCATCAACTTCCAGATGAAGACCTCTGCCCTGTGGCAGCGCAGAGGATCGGTATCGTTTGACCGGCCCCCATCCCCACCCCCATCCCCTGCGAGACCCCCACCAAAATTACAGCCCCAGTTGGGGATATGCACCCCTCGAAGCCCGAAGGGAAAACGGCCCATATCCCCATCTCCGGGGGGGGGGGGGGGGGGGCAAATCGGCCAGTGGGGCCCAGGCCACGCCGCTGGGGGTGGGGGTCGGCTAAGCGATGCTCCGAGGAGCGACTGGAGGTAGCCTGGGAGTCCTCGGCTGCATGGTCGTGTGATTTTTTCTGCTCGGGGTGGTGGATGGAGTGTGGTCTCCTCTGGGGCGTGGCCAACAACCTCGCCTCGCCGCTTTGCATCCGCCATATATCGAGCCGAGAAGGCGCTATAATTACTGTTTAGGTTCCTTGCAGCTGCTTGCTTACACCGCAGCGCGGCTCAGCGCGCAGCTCCGGGTGTGACTATTGCTCCCTCGCCTCCCGCGGCTCCTCCCATCAGTGCCCTCCCGCCGTCCTCTCCCTGTCTCGGGGGCTCTCCGCCCAGGGGCGTGCGCTCCCGTTGTGCCCCGCGTCCCGCACCTCCGCGGAGGCCTTGACTCAGTCACCGGCGGTGCCAGCTCGCTCTTCGACGGGCGGGCAGCCTCCTGTCTTGTGACAAGCTCGGGATCTCGCGCGGCAGGTGCGGCAAAATCACGGTCGCCCCGCGCATCATAACCAGCGAGCTCTCGGGCAACGGGCGGGCGCGGCAAGCTCCTCAGGGGCCTCAGCCCACGTTCATGTGGGCGGTGGTGGGTGAAGGATCGGCGAAGCCGCCTGCATATGCAGAGCCTTTTGCCGCACGCTCCTCTCTCGACCCGGAGGGCCTGGCGCGAGCGCAGACAGCAGTCCCTGGTTCGAACCATGGTGCTTATTTTCTGTTGCCCAGATTGCCTCCCCATTCGTTTTTGCTAGCGCTGGTTGTGCACGGCACTTCGTGGTTGGTCCGTCACAGGGGTCTTGCGGGGCATTGTTTGAACCAGCGTACGAGCACAAGGTGTTGAGGCTTGCGAGCGGAAGAATTTGTCAGCACCATTGTTAGTTCGCCTTCAGCGGAGGCCTTGACTCAGTCACCGGCGGTGCCAGCTCGCTCTTCGACGGGCGGGCAGCCTCCTGTCTTGTGACAAGCTCGGGATCTCGCGCGGCAGGTGCGGTAAAAGCATGGTCGCCCCGCGCATCATAACCAGCGAGCTCTCGGGCAACGGGCGGGCGCGGCAGGCTGCTCAGGGGCCTCAGCCCACGTTCATGTGGGAGGTGCTTGATGCAAGATCGGCGAAACCGCCTGCATGTGCATAGCCTGTGGCAGCGCGCTCCTCTCTCGACCCGGAGGGCCTGGTGCGAGCGCCGACAGCAGTCCCTGGTGTGAACCATGGCGCTTATTTTCTGTTGCGTAGATTGCCTCCGCATTCGTTTTTGCTGGCCCAGCGCTGACGTTGTGCACGGCACTTCGTGGCTGGTCTGTGACAGGGGTCTTGCAGAGCTTTGTTTGAACCAGCGTACGAGCACAAGGTGTTCAGGTTTGCGAGCGGAGGATTGTATCAGCACCAAGTTTAGTTCGCCTTCAGCGGAGGCCTTGACTCAGTCACCGGCGGTGCCAGCTCGCTCTTCGACGGGCGGGCAGCCTCCTGTCTTGTGACAAGCTCGGGATCTCGCGCGGCAGGTGCGGCAAAAGCACGGTCGCCCCGCGCATCAGAGCCAGCGAGCTCTCGGGCAACGGGCGGGCGCGGCAAGCTCCTCAGGGGCCTCAGCCCACGTTCATGCGGGAGGTGCTTGATGCAAGATCGGCGGAGCAGTTTGCATGTGATGGGCCTGTTTTCCACCACCACCACCATACATTGGATGGGGGGAAGGAGGAGGACGCCGAGGAGGAGGAGGAGGTGGAGGAGGAGGAGGACGAAGAGGAGGAGAAGGAGGAGGAGGAGGTCCCCCTCCCCCTCCAACTTATGGTGGTGGTGGTGGAAAGCATGCCTATCATGCATGTGCAGAGCCTTTTGAAGCTCGCTCCTCTCTCGGCCCGGAGGGCCTAGCGCGTCCCTGGTTTGAACCATGGCGCTTACCTTCTTTTGCCTCCCCAGTCTTTCTTCCCGACCCAGCGCTGACGTTGTGCACGGCACTTCGTGGCTGGTCTGTGAGAGGGTCTCGCGTGGCACTGTTTGAATCAGCGTACGAACGCAACGTTTTTGAGGCTTGCGAGCGGAAGCATCTGTCAGCACCAGTTGTTGGTTCGCCCTCAGCGGGGGCCTCGACGCGGTCACCTTCGGCGCCAGCACGCTGATCTGCGAGCTGGGCCTTCCTGTTTTGTGGCAAGGGCGGGGCCTTCTCGTGCGCCGGGTGTGGAGCACAATGGCCGCCTGCAAAGCGCAGGGGCCTCAAACCGTACACGGGGGGGGCGTGGGCGCCGTGGCGCTGATTTGTTCTGCCCCCCCAGTTCGTGGCCAGGCAATGTGGGTCTGAGAACACCCCATGCTATTCGCAAGCGAAAGCCCACGAGAGACGTGTTTTGTGCTCGCTGGAGGCTCATTGTCACCGTACAGCACTGGACGCGACTGTGGCGTATGCTCACCAGTTCTGCTCCAACATGTCAGCAGAATTTCGTCAGTAAGAGGAGCTTGCAATGCAGCCGAGAGAAGTCTCGTTGTTGGGTGTCTTGTGGCTGTAGCTCCCTGGAGGAAGTGGAGGGTAGAGGAGGTGGGGAAGACGAGTCGGATGGAATTGGGAGGAGTCTGCTGGGGAGTTAACGAGAGTTTGCAGATTTCGAGTCTCATGTTTGCAGGCGTGCAGCGAGGCGGTAGCGGGGAAAACATGGAGTCGATTGCCCCCCCCCCCCCCCGCTTACAGCATCACCACCGTCACCATCAACGCCATAACCCATCGCTACCACCATCATCATCATCATCATCATCATCATCATCATCATCATCATCATCATCATCATCAGCATCAGCAGCAGCAGCAGCAGCAGCAGCATCAGCATTCATCATCGTCATCGTCGTCGTCGTCATCAGCCTCATCATCATTATCATGATAATAATAATCATCATCATCATCAGCAGCAGCATCATCATCATCATCGTCATCGTCATCGTCATCATCATCGTCATCATCATCAGCATCAGCATCATCAGCATCCTCATCACCAGCACCATCACCATCATCATCATCATCATCATCATCATCATCATCATCATCAGTATCATCATTATCATCATCAGCATCAGCATCATCATCATCATCATCATCATCATCATCATCATCACCAGCACCATCAGCATCTCATCATCATCATCAGTAGCAGCAGCAGTTGCAGCAGCAGCATGATCATCACCACCAGCCAGCACCATCACCATCACCATCACCATCCACCGTCGTCCGTTGCTGGTAAAGGTTCGATCGAGGGGCCTCTCGGCGGTGCCAGAATCCGACCCGAGCCCAGACATTTGGCCCGAGCCCGACGCCTGGCCCGAGCCCCAGCCCACACGCCGCCACAGTGAGCGGCTTGAATAACGACGCCAGTCTGGGCGTGGCAGAAGCAGGCAACGACGCTTGAGACACCCCCACCATCTTTACTCGACGTTCGGGAGTGTCTGCACCCCTGGCTGGTCCCCTTTGGGGGTGCCCAAATGCCACGCCTGCCACACAGCGAGCGGCTTGAATAACGAACACTTACGTTTCAAACGGGACTCGGTCGTTCTTTAGGCCTGCATGCTTATTTATCGCCAAGAAGGTGGCGGACCCGCACCCAGGCGACGCCGCTGGGTCGGACGCGGAGACGGAGGTCGATGCAGAAGACGCCAGATTGAACCATGCCGCCAAGGACGCCAGGGTTGCAACGGCCGAGAACTTTACACGGATTCGGATGACGCGGAGCCCGAGGACGCCGAAGACGCCGAACCGACCCGGGTTGCCAAGTTTTCCAATGACGCTATTGCTGCAGCAACCAGCACGTTGGAGGCAAGCTTCGGAACTCTGGGAGACCACGTCTAAACGTTCACAAGCAAGTAATGTTGTCACTGCATTGTCTGGATGCCCAGAAAACCGCGGGGCGCGCAGTGGGTTGCGAATGATCCAGTTGTTGGACATGACGAGACACGGGCTTGCGTCCTACAGGGGTTTCTCCGCATGTTTGCATAGGCATAGCTCTCGGAGCATTTCATACAGCAAGCGTCTAGCGCCACGCCAAAGGCGGCTTAAAGCACGAGGCGGCTGTGGCCGCTTGGAAAGCACGCCCGCGAGCGGAAGGTTCGCAGAGCGTTGGCGTTCATATTTTCAGCGCCGCAGGTCCGACGCAGGTAGCAGCAGTCCCGGCGTCGGCAGTCAACCCAAAGGGTGGGGCATCGGGCGATGATCGGCCCCCGCGGTCTCCTGCAGACGGCGGGTAGCTGCCGCGGCTTGGGCGCGCTGCTCGAGGCACGCCCCCGGCTTTGGAATCTACAGTCAGGGTTGATAGTAAAGATGGGCAGCCTTTTCCAAGGGTATCCTTGCATCCTTGTCGCATCTGTCCATCCTTGTAGTAGGTTCGTGCGGAGTTGGCACGTTGGCGATGCCGGCGAAGGCGTTCGAGGTTGAATGATGCGACGCGGAAGCACCGAGGGACACGGCAACGCCATTGGACCCGACGGAATTCTTTTTGGAACGTTCGGGGCCGCGATCGATTCAAGGTTAAACAATCGACGTGGCGTCAAAACTTTTGCGCGCGCCGACGCCGCACGAACCTACCGCAACCCTTTTCGATGGCCAATCCCACTCGAAAAGCTTCGACGTGGGAGCCCAAGGGTCTTGCATCCTTCTCACGCATCCTTTTGATCTGTTTGGGCCGTAATTTGCGCTGCAAGCGCCCCGCGAGCACCGCCGCGGCGCAATGCGATAAGAGGGCTGCGCGCGGGGGGATCAGAGACGGACCTGCTCTGGTCGCGCGCGGTCGGCTTCGGCCGCGCCGACCAGGTCGAGAGGTGCGGCCCATCGGGCGGTTCTCGCCACGCCGCACGGCTTGCCCTCGTCGGTGGCTCGAGGATGGGGCCCCGAGGGGTGGGGTCTGGAGGACGAAGTGCCCCAAACAGCGCAAATCCACCCTGGGGCCCCTTCCTTTCCTCGGGGCCCCACCCCTCGAGACCCCCCTCTTTGAACCGCCGACTGCACTGGGGGAGGACAGGTGGCTCGACGAGCTCGGGCCGCGCGGACAGGTGGATGGTCGTTCGCGGCGCCGCCGCGGACGAGCGCCCGCGCGCGAGGGGCATCGCGCCGGCAGGGCGGCCGCGCCCGCGCGCACTGCGGGCGAGGGGGCGCGGGCGCCGAGCTGCGCCGGCAAGCGCGCGCGGAGAGGCGGGCGCGGTGCAGGGCCGGCCGCGGCGCCCGCGGGCTCCGCCGGCCGCGGGTCGCCCGCTCCTGCCAGGCCCGGCAGTCGCTCGCGCTGGGCGGCTCCGCTCCGCCCTCTCCGCCTCGCCCTGCGGGGTGCGGCGGGGCCGGCCGCCGAGCCCGGTCGTGGGCGGCGCCTCTCTGTGGAGAGCGAGGTCGCGATCTCGCGGGGGGTCGTCTGGGCCGGCGCCGCGAGCCAGCACAGATCGGCTGCGCGAGGGCGCTCGCCGGGGAGGTCCGCCCTGGCGACTGCGTCGCTCCTCCTCCTCCTCCTCCTCCTCCTCCTCCTCCTCCTCCTCCTCCTCCTCCTCCTCCTCCTCCTCCTCCTCCTCCTCCTCCTCCTCCTATCCCTATCGCCGCGTCCTCGCAACGGGGTTGATTGAGCAAGTCGTGAGCGAGAGTTGCCCGCGCCCGCCGCTCGCGGGCCCTGGCTCGAACGCCGAGCGCGATTGGCGGGCGGCCGCTGGCGGCGCGCCCGCCCCCGACGCCCGGACCGCCCGAGCTCGATGGGGCAGCGCCGAGCGGCTCCGCGGCGCCGCTCGGGCGCCGCGGAGACTTTCGCGGGCGTCGCTCGGACGCACATTTCGCACGGCTCTCTCGCCGTCGGGGGGGGGCGCCCCCGAGCGGGGGCCCTCGCCGCGCCGCGAGGCGCGGGCGCCCGCGCGCGGGGGGGGGGGGGGGCGCGGAGTTGTATTGTCGCGACCCTGCTTGGCACAGCATTGTCGCCGCCTGTCGGACCCCCCCCCCGCCGCGCGCGCGGCGGGCGGGAGGGCGGCGGTCTCGCGGTCCATGGCGGACGGGGGCGCCGGGCGGGCCAGGTTTGCCGCGCGGCCGGGCCGCCGCAGGGCAGGGACGAGGGCGGGGGGGCGACGACGGTGCGGGCAAGGGGGGGGGCGCGCACGCAGGTGAGCCCCCCTCCTCCTCCTCCGCCTCCTCCTCCTCCTCCTCCTCCTCCTCCTCCTCCTCCCTCCCCTCCTCCTCCTCCCCTCCTCCTCCTCCTCCTCATCCTCCTCCTCCTCCTCCTCCTCCTCCTCCTCCTTCTCCCCCTCCTCTCCTCCTCTCCGCCTCCTCCTCCTCCTCCTCCTCCTCCTCCTCCTCCTCCTCCTCAGCATCCGAGCCGCGCGGCCCCGCGCCTTGTGCCACTGCGCACAGTCGCGCCGCGTCGACCCTGCCCCCATGCATTGCGTCGCAACGACGCCCAGCGTTGCTCCGCGATGTCGGCGTCTCCGCAAACGCATTGCTGCAGCATTCCTGCGTTGCGTCACATCGGCCTTCAGCGCGTTCAGACGCGCGGCGAGCGCCTTGGCCCTGCCTCCACACCGAGCAAGAGAAACCCTCCGCGAGATGACGTAGCGACCTTACGCGGTGGCTCACGCGGGCTGCCAGCGCGGCGCACTACATTTGGGACCACGGCGCTTGCGCGCGACCTGGCGGGGGCATCTTAGGCGCGAGTGTCTGCGCAATCGAACCCGCTTTTTTGCGTCGCTCACCTGTGCTCTTTGCTGCGATCGCGCCTCGGCGTCGCGGCTGAGGAGGAGGAGGAGGAGGAGGAGGAGGAGGAGGACGAGGAGGACGAGGAGGAGGAGGAGGAGGAGGAGGAGATGGAGGAGGACGACGAGGGGGGGAGGAGGCAGGGAGGAGGAGGAGGAGGAGGAGGAGGAGGAGGAGGAGGAGGAGGGGCGGGGCGAGTAGGGAGGGAGAGAAGGGGTTCTAGGAGGAGTTCAACCTTCAAGTTGCCCCGCCAGCGCGAGGCCGCTGGCCCGCCCGTGGGCGTCGCGCGCGCGCGGCGGCGAGGAGGCCTTCGTAGGCCGCGGACCGCCGCCGCGGCAGAGCAGCTCTGCAATCGGGCGATTGCGACGCGCGCGTTGCCGCGACGTGCGCCGGAAGCCGCCCAGCGGGCGATGCCACGCCGCCCCAGGCAAGCTGCGCGCCGGCAGACATCTGGGCCTCGGTCGGGCGCGGTGCCGTGGAGGGTAAACGCCGAGAGCGTCTGGGCAAACAGCTTGAGAGGGTCGCGCCACCTCCGCTGCCGCGACAGTCGGTCGCAGGCAGCCGCAGACTGCGCCGCCCGCCCCGGCGGCCTGGAACGCGGAGCCCGCGGCGGCGAAGCGCCGGGGCCATGGGGCGATGTGGATTCAACGAGCGCGTTCCACTACTCGGAAAGTGCCTACTCGCAAGCGTCAGCAAAACGCACGATCGCCGCGTTGCCATGGCGCTTCCACAAGACATCTCGGCGCGGGGCGTCGCCAAATGAGGCGGCATTGGCCTCATGGTGAGTCGGGCCTGTCCCTCTACAGGAGGAAAATTCAAACATAGGAAAAATAATA